TAACAATGGGTATAAAAGCAAAAGAAGAGACTGGAGAAGCATAAACTCTCTCTCTGGTTTTGTGCAGTGTGACTGCAGGAAGTGTTGAATACCCTGAAGACATCAAATGGAAAAGCCATCAGGATGAGCTCCGCTGTGAGCTATGGGAACAATTCAGAGGCAATGGATTGTGCTCAGAATGGAAATTTATCTTTGTGGAATTCTAAACAGGGAGAAAGGGCATCCAAGGTTAGCCAAACAGGCTAAGAAGTGGTATTAGCTCAGTATGTGAGCCAAGAGGGAAATGCTTACAGGGTAAACAAGCACCTAAGGCTCTCCAAAGATCTATTTTAAGAGCACAGTTTGCACAAACTTTCTAATCTATTTTACTACAGATAAGAGTAAAATCAAGGCTACCAGTCTTTTTCTTCTGTTATACCCAGGAAATCAGTTTTGTGCCAAACCAAAAATACCAGTTAGGCATTTTCAGAGTGACCGTGGTTTAATTTGGTTTAATACCAGATTGTGATTGACTGATAAACAGCTGTTTACTGAGAACCCACATGGACACAGCCACACACCACCTAGATGATAATTCCTTAGTGGGAATGCCTGAGAATGGGCTGTCCTGGATCTGTTCAGTTAGTGCTTACCTGGAAGAAAAGCACTGAGAAAGAAAAAGTTGTGAACAACCTCTAATTCTCAAGCTCCAGCAGCCTCATTAAAAGTGGTATCAACTTTGGTTTTCAGAGTGCTCCATAGTCATGGACATTACTTCTTGGTTTCCTGCTTACTCTTCAGGAATTTGTGTTTTGCATCCAGTTTTAAAATATAAATATTCAGGAAATGTTAACTATTTTTAAAAAAAGAAAGAAACAGACACACACACACACACATTTTCAGCAATCGGATTTATGATGCTTTTGTTCTCTAATACTTGTCATGTGGCATTTAAAATAAACAAAGGTAGCACAGGAGCACAAGGGAATTTAAAACTTTGCCTATCCCATTGCCTGCTTCCGAGATGTAAACATTACTTTCTAGCTGTTACATATGACATTATAAATTTATCTTGATAAATTTACTGAGTGCGTGTATAGAATTCTTTCCATAAACTGCCATCGAAGTTGGGCCACAGGCTTAAAAACAAGGAATCCAGCCAACCGTGGACTGAAAGTGCTAAACCATGAGCCAAAACAATCCTTTTCTTAAGTTATTTATACCAACTTTTTGGTCATAGCAATTCATGTATTTTTAGTGTAGTTTCTGGGACTCAATATATTCTAATGATATTCCAGTCTCTAGGTATCCTAATTATCATTTTGATTCCTCTTTGACTTAGAAAATACCTAAATACTTAAAATTTTAAAATGTTATGCAAGGTGTTTGGATGTTTTGGAGGGTTTTATAATTTATTTTTAATGTCTGTCACACATCAAATTCTGGCTTAACTTTAGACATCGTAGATTTTTATCAATATTTTCTGTCCCCTAAAAATGACACTTGCTATTGTGATTGTAAAAAGCCTAGGAAGTCAGGAAGGGATATTTCTGGGGGCCCCTGGGGTGGGGGTCTTTCTCAGCTCCCAGTGCCTTCGGTTCTCTCTCTCTCTCTCTCTCTCTCTCTCTCTCTGCCTCCCTCCCTCCCACCCCGCCTTCTGCTCCTGCCTGCCATAGGGGAATGGGTTTCCTCATCCTTGTCCCCAACCCTCAATGTGATGTTTCTGTTTCACCAAAGACCAGAGAGCTAAAATAAACCATTCCTCCTGTGAGCTGCTCATGCCAGGTGTGGTCACAGTGACAAAAAAATGACCAATGCAAACGAGTGCCTTAAACGCGGCAGTAGTGTTTAAAGTGATGAACTGAGTAAACCTGATGATTGTGTGCTTTGCTGATTTTTATATTTTTCCCATTTTTCTCTGATTCACTTCTGACAAATAAGCTGAAATCGGTTAGAGTTTTGCTTGATCAGTTTTCTTTATAATTTCATCTTTTGTCTTGTTTTATGCATTTTGAAGTTATGCCTTTAGAGGTGGATAATCTTAGTGTTGTTTTATTTGTCCGAAGAATTTTTAAATTATCTCAGTGATTAACTGTACCATTCGTGTTTCTGTGTACATTTAAATTGAATGTTTCCTTTAATATTCCTATACCACATAAACTAATCATTTTAGATTAGCTTTTGCTTATTATTTCCTTTTTAAAAATATTAGTATCCTTCCTGTATAATCCTTCCTATAGGTTATGTATAATTTAACTTGTTATTTTTTCATTTATAGGATTTTTTTTTTCAAAATTAGTGGCATGTGTTTGCAGCCCAGGAAATTTATATTCACTTGGGGGTATTGGCCTATATATCATATCCTCATTATCTCAATCCCCTCTATTCCCCAACTACAAAATGTTCACCTTTATTTGACTCTTTAATTTGTTAATAACTGTTTCTCATGTGACAGAAACTGTGATTTTAACTTTGTATGTCTGCCTTATTTCAATTAACTAGAGATACATCCATTTTATTGCAAATCTCTCAACTTTATCCATCTTAATGGCTGAATAAAATCCCACTGTGTATATATACCACATTCTGTTTACCCATTCATTCACAGATGGGCATCTAGGCTTCTTCCACAGCTTAGTCGTTGTAAACGGAATGCTGTGAGCATAAGCATGCATGTATCTCTATAGCACAATGTCGTAACACTTTCAGGAATATCCCAGGAGAAGTGTAACCGGGCTATATGGAATTTCAGTTTTTAGTTTTTTGAGAAATCTCTCTACTGATTTTCATAGTTATTGTATTAGTTTTGCACTCCTACCAACAATGTAGAGGGACGCCTTTTTTCTACAATTTGTTTTTTCTATTATTTGTGACAGTCATTTTGGTTTGAGTAAGATGAAATCTTAGGGTTACTGTGGTCTGCATTTCTCTTACAGTTGGAGGCACCTTTTATGTACGTGCTGCCCACTTCTTTTGTAAGTGTCTATTCTGCCCATTTGTGAGGTGGGCTATTGGTCTGGGGGAGTCGAATGTTAAGTGCTGTGTGCAGTCTGCGTGTCGGTCCTCTGTCAGGAGAGTAGCTAGCGGTTCCCTCCCTCCCGCAGCTGTCTTCAGTCTGCTGCCTGCACGCGTGGCTGTGCCAAAGCCTTTTAATTTCAAGTAGTCTCATTTGTTAATTGCACTATTAGACCTTTGATAAGGAAAGCTTTTCCCTGTGACTTGAAGTGTTTTCTTATAGAAATTTTAGTTTCTGTTTTTATATACAAGTCATTGAGGACTTTATTTTCTGACTAACGAGTTTAGTATGTGTTTATTGTGGTCATGCTTGTGCTTGGAATTGTTTGTAGTTTTTGATTATTCATGTATTTATTGATTGCTTTCCCAATCATTATTGTTAGAATGTCATTCTTCTTCCCTCCTCTTTGCTATAATAGAAGTGTTTTAATTTAATGTTAAAATGTATACCTAAATTAACAGGCTTCTCTTAGCAATAATAAGGAAAGTTAAGTGGCTTTGTCTTCCATAGTATTATTGTCCTCTATGGGAGCTACATACTGCTTCATTCTTCCCTTTAAGGCATTGTTTCCATTCTAATCATTAGTTTTTACAATAATTTTCACTTGTATTTATTCACGTCATAGTAAGTATTCACATTTTTCCTATTTACTTCCTACCTTTTTGTGTCCTCTATTTCTTCCCTGCTGGGCTCACTTTCCACCTGTATGAGATACACGTTTGACAGATCTTTGGGCAGAATCTACAAGTGGTAAAGTTAGCATTCATTTAAAAAAAAATACACTTTATTCTCCCCCTTGAAAGAGATATGTAATTGGGCATAGAAGTCTAAATTCACATGATATTCCTTAGAAAGTTCAAATTTTAAATCATCTCTGATTTGTTTTTGCTCATAAGACATCTAAGATACAAGTTTGACCTACCTGGAACTGATGCTTTGTGGATGGTGTACGTGAGTCATATTTCATTTGTCTATGTGGGAAACCCAATTATACTAAAATATGTATCAAAAAAGTTGTAATCCTATTATGTAATGAGTGGTCACCTATTCACAGCCCAAAATAATATTCTCTGTTCTGTCGCACTGCACTATCCTATTGCAAATATAAAGCAGTTCTTATTAGTATTATAGCTTTATGAGAAGCCTTGAAATCCAGTACAGCAACTTCTGGAAAGATTCTTCTTTAAGGGTACTTTTTTCTTATCTGAAAGTTGTGTTTCTTTACTATTTTTTATTACAGAAATCTTAGAATACCCCAAAAGAAAATAACAAACCACAGTGTTCGATTGTTCCAATCATTGCATGGATTTGCTTAATCCGGGGCCTTCCAAGTCATCTGTGCAGTGTATTGCTTCTTTTATTCAGGCTGTCTTTGGTGTCTTTCAGAAAGATTTAATGCCTCAGAATTTCTCCATAGAAGTCTTACATGTGTTTTTCTTTCAACTTTTTTTTTTCCTCCTTAGGTCCTTCATATTGTTTTATGTTACACTTTACACATAAATATTTGTTCCCAAACATATTTACTAAGCTTTATAACATTTAATTTCTAAACATTCATTGTTGCTGTAGCACATACATGTTGCTTTACTATTTGGCTACCTGTCAAGATGACTTATTAGTTCTATAATTACACATTAATAGTTTTAGACATTCTACATATGAACTCACACGTCTTCTCAGTAACCGCTCATTACTGTCTTTCAGTGCAGCCCTTAGTATGTTCCCCTCTGTGTCCTGTGTCCTGCTGACATAATGCTGCTGACACCTCATGACGGCATATACACCATTTGCTTCATCTTTTAAAGGGAAAGTCCTTGTTTCACTAGTATGAAGTTGCTTTAGGTTTTATACAAATTTCTCTGAAAGGAGTTTTCCTTTGAAGATAATTGGACAGTTCTATCATGAGTGAAGGTTTTTTTATATCAAATGTTTCTCCCCAAATAACTTGAAAAAAACGCATATGACTTTTACCCCTTAATCTGTTAATACGGTAAATGAGGTCAAATCTGGGGCAAACACTTTATTAATCTTTAGCATATAAGTTATTCCTAAAGGCAAAGGAATTCATAAGCACATATGTGGAAGAGTGCAGAGACAAAGAAAAAGCCAGGACAGAACCCTGAGGGAATTCAGGCTTCTGCAAAGCAGGGGTTGCTGGCATCCAATATTGGCAAAGAATATTTGGAGAAAGAGAAGAAATATTAGAGAACCATGCAGTCAAATAAAATATGTATTGGTTGGCAGCAAGATGGTCCTTGGCAACATTTGCAATAATATCTCACAGCATTGGGAAGGGATTGATGGTTGAGCCCAGAGAGTCCACCATGGGTCCAAAGTGGATGCTGAGACAAGGTCACTGAGTCAGTACACGCAGTAAAAGAAACTACAAAGCGGGGATAAATGTTTTGGAAATCTCTTTTAAATGCACTCAAGAGCTTTGACAGTGCAAACTTCTTAGAAAAGTTGTGGGGAAGAGCTGGACTTCAGATTTAACTTAATATTGAAAGTAAAAACCAACTTTTTCTGGCAACATTTTGAGGGTGATGACCGAGGACAAAATATGCCATCTAAGAATTATCCATGGGCCCGGCCTGTCCTCGGAGTGGGGAAGGAAGATGGATATTCTGCACTTTCTGCTACTCTTTATCTTCTTGTCAGTCTGGCAAGAAGGAAGCTCCCTGGACACCACCCTTTGCAATCCCACGGTCAGTACTGACATAGCCCTCTCATCACTGCTTAGATCTGCAGTTCGGCTGTTGTATCTTGAGAAAATGCTTGCACATCTGTGGCCCTATGCCCTTCAAAGAAAAGGCAGGATTTTCTCATATTCCATAAAGATTCAAGAGCTGCGGCTCTGTGGACGTGAGTGGGGGCCATAGCAACAAGGTGGCTTGAGTGAAACAGTTGCTTAGATAAGAGAAAAGCTGTATCATTAACTTGTCCAACTCTGCCCCTCGGCACGAATGTAAGAGGCTTCTACATTTTCCCAGAAACATCTAGTGTCCAACGCTTTGTTTCTCTTGGGTTCCAATTATGGCTTCGGGGAACAAAAATGGAATACGGTATTAGTAAAAATTGGAAACAGTGTCTGAGGAAAAATTTTAATATTAAATAAGTCCTATTTCTCTGAAATTTAAGTATGTTGTTGGAAGTAAAGTGTTATTTACCCTTGCAAAGACATGGGTAGCAGTGTTAGAAATTTGAATAATCACAGTTTCACAAAATTATTTATAAGAAAGCATTAATATTTCACTTTTAGCTAAATAATTTGCATTTATGAAATGTAATAGCATTGACTTCCTTTTCTATTACTGGTTTATATCTATAAATATTAGAATAGTAAGGCCATGTGTGTTAAATCATGATACCTTGTCATCATGATAACAACCTTGAGTTATCCCTTAAGTGACAAGAAACTATGACAACATTTTAAAGGAGAAAAAAGATAGCAGCTGGCTTTGAATGTAAAGAAATGATTCTCAGTGATATAAGGACATATTTTAACCAAGTACTTGGCTATGAAATGTTGAACATATTCAAACAGTAAAACATCATCTATGACAATTGTACATACTCTGTAGTGATTACTACAATCATGTTGGTTAACACACCTATCACACCCACGCAGCACACTAGATTCTCAGAAATTGCTCTGTTTATCACCCAAAGCTTGACCATTATCTCTCTTCTCCTCCCCCAACCAGCTGACTGCAGCAGTCGACTCACATTCTGCCTTTATGATGCCAACTTGAAAGACTCCTGTATTGGGGAGGCCACACAATATTTGTCCCTCTGTGTATGGTTGTTTCACTTAGCATAATATCTTTTTTTTTACTTAAAGAGAGAAAAAAAGAAAGGAAATAAAATTAAAAAAACCAAGCAGTAAAAGGGTACAAATAATACAGAATTTCAAGGAAAAAATACAGTAAGCTATCACTAGTCAATAGGTTACATATTATCATCATCTTTGAAATAGCATGTAAAGTGAACATTCATACAGTGAGATTGCAGACAGTACTGATCAATGATCAACAAAAGTTCAGTAACATGGATTTCCATCCTACACACTCAAACATACATGCAGTTATATCCCTTAGACCACCTTCCTTTCCTCTCTTTTTAATAACAATTACACTTTTTGGTTTTTTTTACTCCCACAATTCTTATTATTTTTTTGGAGAGAATAAAACCTAACGTGGCTACTTAGCATAATATCTTCCAAGTTCATTCATGGTGCTGCAAATGGCAGGATTTTTCTTTTTATGGGTGAATAATATTCCACAGTGTATCTGTAGCTAAGTGCCTTCATCTATTCCTCCGTGGATACTAGGCTGATTTTACCTATTGACTAAGTGGTGATACACATGGGCACACAGACATCACTTTGATATACGCATTACACTTCCGTGATATATGTGCAACAATAGGGCTGTTTATCAAATGATTGCTCAACTTTTTGAGAGATCTCTAATTGTTATGCATAGCAGCTGTGTTAATAATGCACAGTCCAGTCACAACATGCAAGGATTCCTCTTTTCACAGCCTCACCACGCTGGTTATACTGCTGTCTGATGAAAATGACCTTTGCAGTTTCTCTCCCTTATCAGGAAAACAGAGGTTAAAAAAACCACATAGTTTAGTGGTATTTTGGAAACATTAAATGAGTTAAACAGAACACTTGCAATTCTTCCTCGCACTCAGCAGATGCTTTCTAAGGCTTAAGAATATTTACAAATATACTGTAGGGAAAGCAGAAGGTGATTTAGGGCAATCATGAGGGTTTTGTTTTTTAGCTCAACCAATAAGATTAGTGATGATGTTATTTGCCGCAGTCATGGGGCTCAAGGAGTTGAGAGCCGGGAGAAGCCATGCATGTACAAGACAGTGTGCTGGCTGACCTTACCTAAGGGAGTTCCATGCCTGGGATTCTGTGACAGGCGAGAGTGGGAAGAAGAGGGGTCCAGCGACAAGGAAGGAGAAGAGCAATCAGCATGGCAGGAGGGGAACCCGAAGGGAGATGTGAAAGCCACCTGAGGACATGTCTTAAGAATGAGTCGGCGGGCACTCTTGGACTTTCATGAGGTCAGGTGAGATGACAGAAAGTTGACTATGGCATCGGACCATGTGAAGGTCCTTGTGACTCAGGATTAAATGGTTTCAGAGAAGTGCTGGGAGTGTGGATATACTGAATAGACTCAAGAGAAAGGGCAGAGGGAATGTCAATATAAACACATTTTCCTTCATCTGTCAGCTTCTCAAGCTTGTTTTATCTTAAATCTCTTTCATTAGGGATAAGGTCTAATATGTTCCTCATTAGATATGCAGGGCTCAACATATATTGGGTGTTTAACAAGTACTTTTTGCCTAATGAATGTCAAATAAATTAGTGAATAAAAGTGACTGACTTCAAAGCCATGTTCAGCCCTAACACAGCTGACCGTCGGCCTCTTCTTTCCTAGAAACTATGCTTTCTTCTTTCCACAGCTACTTTTCACTTTTTTTTTCTTACCCTGGTGATACTCTGGGATTTGTGAACCAGAAATCACTATTCTTGTTCTCCTGTCATATTTTCCTCCTAGCGCAAACCCTTAGAAAAGCCTGGGGGACAATTGGCTCATTCTGGGATTGTATAGATAAAGGGTAGAAATCATACGACAAAACTAAAAAGAACTCTTAGGGCAAGATCAAATCATGCTATGCTTTAGATCAGCAAGTCCATGCCACCACTGAGTCAACTTCTGATGATACCACTATAAGGTGTGGTCAAAACTTGGTGAATGTTTAAATTTTTAGAAATCATCACAGTAAGAACACATGTTTCCCATAATCCCTCTTAAAACACTCCACTGTGATAGCAACACACTCGTCCCATCATTCTTGACACTTTCTGAAACAGTTGTGGAAGTCCATCCTCATGAGTGTCTTTTAAGAGGTGTTGCAAACATAGAGTGAATTCAGATGTTTAGTACTATCCAGAGAAAGGCAGGCTCATAACACATTACAGTGAGTCCTCATCCAGTTCATTTACTGGATCTGGTACCTGCCAACTTCGGACCCTTCATCAAAGTAAAAATGCCCATGAAAAGTGAACATTTTTAATCCATTCAGGATATCCATGCAGCCAGGACAATGCAATTAAAGACACTTGTGAAAGAAGAATTCCAGAATTGTTTTCAAAAGAACAATGGGCAAATGTGTTTGAAGAGTCTTTTGAGGGGGATTAGTGGAAATAGGTATTTCATTGTAAAGCCATTTTAGATTTAAGCAGTCACTGTACCACCCATTCTTATTTTTATAAGGAAGAAATAAATCCTTTGTTACACAGTTAGCCACACCTGCTGCTGCAAGAAATACCATGCACAGTCTTGGAGAGGTCAGGGATAGATTAACACCTTGTTTTCTTCCTCTTTTTCTTCTGCCCTTCTAACTCCAGCTCCGAGGCATCATGCTGCTTTGGTAGGAGGGCTGTGGGTCTATGTGAGACTAGGGAAGATGAACCTGGCAATATTTTCTAAATATGCATGTGAGTACTGAGGCCCAGAATCACAGGTGCTACATAGGCTTTCCAGGTTGTGTCATAGACCTGCCCCTGCCCGTTGGGAAGTGAAGGCTGCCTTACGTGCAGTCACCAAGCTGAGTCACTAATGAGCACTTTCTCGGAGGAAGTGTCTGTAGACAGGCCAGCCAGTGTTTGTTTTGGAGACTGTATGCCCGGGAAAAAATGAGGAAAACATGCCTGAGACTGAGTCCTCTCTAATGACCAGGTACAGTTTCTGGCCAGCTCACTTGTGAGTATAGGGGCTGTGATTTATTTTCTTTCTTTCTTTCTTTCTTTCTTTCTTTCTTTCTTTCTTTCTTTCTTTCTTTCTCTCTCTTTCTTCTTTCCTTCCTTCCTTCCTTCTTTCCTTCCTTCCTTCCTTCCTTTCTTCCTTTCTTTCTTTCATGTTGAAGTCCGAGGAAAGAAGCGGCCCAGTGTTTCTGCTTAGCAGAGTGGTTCTGTGTGAGTGGTGCAGTGCCCCTCTCGGCTGATCGGCTGATGTAGTACCTTAGAGGCTCAGAGCTGAGAAGCTTCCGAGGAGGAATTTCTCACCCACGGGTCTGAGAAGCACCAGCAGTGCAGGGTGCCTGTGCCCTATGAAGTAATACACTTTCTATTTTGCATTCCACAAAAAACCTGAGGCCACTTGTGCCATTATATTTGGTTGAATATAGAATGGGCATGGTGGAGAGGCCAGGAAATGTGCTTGCAGAGTTACTGGGTGGGGCGCGAGCCTTAGCTGACAAAAACTTCAGGGGAACAGGGACAAGGCTGCCTCCTACAGCCCTTCCCAGCCCCCTCTGGCTTTGCACGATGCGGTGGGGCAGTGGACAGCTTCCGTCTGTCCTGGTCTTCCTGGAGTGCCAGTTCTGTACCCAGTTGCTGAGAGCCACTGGATGCCTAAATGGGAAGCCCCATGAGGTCCAACCCACAGCAAGGTGGAGGAGCTCCTAGCTGGAATTTGGTGTCCTGGGGTAGCTGGCATTTGGGACATGTTTTCAGCCCAGGCTCAGTCACCTACGGCTCTGCTACTGGCTCTCAAATAGCTTAGTAATGGTCTGGAATATTAACTATCACCATTTTTTCTACTTAAGCTTTTAAATTTTTATTTTTCATACTTTTGATTTTTGATGAACATGCATTAATTGTACATATCAGTGTGTTCAGTGTGATGTTTCCACACGTGCGTAGGCTGTGCACTGATCAAATCCAACCTTCCTTTGTTCATCCACACCCGTGCACACCCATGTCACACTCTGCAGACTCCAGCCACCACAAGTCTACATTCAGGCAGAAATCAAGGAACACGCAAGAACCATTCTGTTTCTGTGATTTTTTTGGTTTTTGTTTTTCGGAGGATTTTTTTAGCTTCATATGAACAAAACATGGTACTAACCTTTCTGAGTCCAGCTTGTTTCATGTAGCAAAACACCCTCTATTTCCATCCATTTCCTGAAATAACAAGATTTCATTCTTTTTTATGACTCACTAATATTGTCATATATGCATATATTATATGTATAATATATGGAGATATATAATATCTCCATAAATGGGATATTATATATATATATATATATATATATATATGTATGTATATAGTTTTCTTTATCCATTCCTCTATTCATGAGCCCTTAGGATGATTAAATGTATTTGCTAATGTGAATAATCACATTTTTAAAAGTCACTTTTAATAGAGAAGTGTGAACACTGTAAGAATAGAATAGTAAGAAGGCTACATACTTATTTTTCTTCCGCTAATAAGAAGTGGTGTTAGCCCTGTGAGACCTGGAGCCCAGTGTTAGGTCCACAGCCCACACTCTTTCCCTCAGTCCACCCTGCTGCTAGGAAAACAGCCTCTGACAGGCTCTGATAAAGACCCCCAAAATCAGAGAACAATGCCTCTTGCAAGGTTCTATATATTCCCTAATTACAAAGAAAAGATATAGTGTATAAAACTGGTCAAACATAGTATGAAAACAGGTTAAAGTTTCAGAGTTGAGCCTGGCAGGGGGCTCACACCTGTGTTCACAGAACTCTGGGAGGCTGAGGTCAGTGGATCCAAGTGCAAGCCCAGCCTGGGAAACTTGTCATCTTAGTGAGACTCTGTCTCAAATAAAATAATTTTAAAAGGGCTGGGCTGTAGCTCAGTGAGAAGGCTTTGGTACAATCCCAAGTGTCACCAAAAAGATCCAAATGCAAATAAGGGACTCAAAGAGATATTTGTGCATCCATATTGATAGCAGCATCATTCTCACTTGTCAGGACATATGCAAGCCACATGTCCAAAGTGTATGCTACAACGGAATTTTATTCTGCCCTAAAACGTGAGAAACTCCGGTACAGAGTTATTCCCTGGTTGGATCCTGAGAACATCTTGCTAGGTGAGATAAACCTATCATTTATTGATGCATCACAAAAGAGCAAACAGTGCATGAGGCACCTGGAGCAGTAAAGGTAGACACGGAAAGAATCGCAGCAGACGGGATGAAAGGAGGAGGAATAAGGAGGCAGTGTTTGATGGGTGAGAAGTTTTGGCTGTGCAAAATGAACTCTGTGGATGGGCGGTGGTGATGACTATGT